AAACTTCAGCAGGAGTTCAACCAGCATGTGTTCAAGTTGGAGCAGGAGGAATACCTTAGGGAGCAGATTGACTGGACCTTCATTGACTTTGCTGACAACCAGCCCTGCATTGACCTTATCGAGGGCAAGCTTGGCATCTTGTCTCTTCTGGACGAAGAATCGAGGCTGCCTATGGGTTCTGACGAGCAGTTCGTTACTAAGCTGCACCACAACTACGCTGCCGACAAGCACAAGTTCTACAAGAAGCCCCGATTTGGCAAGTCTTCTTTCACCGTCTGCCATTATGCCATCGACGTCACCTACGAGTCGGACGGCTTCATCGAGAAGAACCGTGATACCGTTCCGGACGAGCACATGGCGGTTCTGCGCGCATCGACCAACCACTTCCTTGTTTCGGTCTTGGACGCTGCTTCTGCGGTGCGCGAGAAGGATCTGGCCTCTGCCAGCTCAAACGCTGTGAAGCCCGCCGCCGGAAGGAGAATCGGTGTGGCTGTTAACCGCAAGCCCACACTCGGCGGTATCTTCAAGTCTTCTCTTATTGAACTAATGAACACAATCAACGGCACGGATGTCCATTACATCCGTTGTATCAAGCCTAACGAGGCGAAGGAGCCCTGGAAGTTCGAAGGACCCATGGTCCTGAGTCAGCTCCGCGCCTGCGGTGTATTAGAAACTGTCCGCATTAGTTGTGCGGGTTATCCCACAAGATGGACGTACGAGGAATTCGCGTTGCGGTATTACATGTTGGTACCATCGACGCAGTGGACCTCGGAGATCAGAGAGATGGCGAATGCCATCTTGACCAAGGCCTTTGGCGCTAGCACCGGCAAGGGTCTCGACAAGTACCAGCTCGGTCTCACCAAGATCTTCTTCAGAGCCGGTATGCTCGCTTTCCTGGAAAACCTGCGCACCACCAGACTCAACGACTGCGCGATTCTCATCCAGAAGAACCTCAAGGCCAAGTATTACCGCAAGAGGTACCTTGCTGCCCGCGGTGCCATTGTCAATTTCCAAGCCTTGGTTAGGGCAAACAAAGCTCGCAATTCGGCACAGGAACGCCGCACCACCAAGGCGGCGATTACAATCCAGAGAGTCTGGCGTGGTTACAAGGACAGGAAGAGGTTCCTCCAGGTCAGGAACGATGTTATTCGCGCTCAAGCCGCCATGAAGGGCTTCTTGCGGCGCAAGCAGATTATGGAGGAGCGGGTCGGAAATGCTGTGCTTATCATCCAGCGGAACTGGCGGTCGAGGCAGCAGCTCCGCTCCTGGAGGGATTATCGCCGGAAGGTTACCATTGTCCAGAGCTTGTGGCGTGGTAAGACGGCGCGTAAGGATTACAAGGCTCTCCGCGCCGAGGCACGGGATCTCAAGCAGATTTCGTACAAGCTGGAGAACAAGGTGGTGGAATTGACACAGTCGTTGGGAACCATGAAGACGCAGAACAAGGAGTTGAGGATTCAGGTGGAGAACTACGAAGGACAGGTGGCGACCTGGAGGAATCGTCACAACCAGTTGGAAGCACGTGCCAAGGAGCTGCAAGCCGAGGCCAACCAGGCCGGTATTGCTGCCGCTCGTTTGGAGCAGATGGAGGCCGAGATGAAGAAGCTTCAAGCAAGCTTCGAGGAGTCTGCGGCGAACGTGAAGAGGATGCAGGAGGAAGAACGCGAGCTCAGAGAGTCCCTGCGCGCTACCAGCGCAGAGCTCGACGCTGCTCGTATCGACAGCCAACGGCAGGAGGCTGAGAAGAACTCGCTCCGCCAGCAGTTGGCTGACCTTCAGGAGGCTCTCGAGCAGGCAAGGAGGCAAGTACCGATCAATGGTGATATCCTGAACGGCAATGGTATTGCTCCTCAGGTCCCTACCGGGTTGATCAACCTGGTATCGTCCAAGAAGCCTAAGCGGCGTAGTGCGGGTGCCGAACCTCGTGAGATGGATCGGTACAGCATGGCTTACAACCCACGACCCGTTTCCATGGCTGTCCCTGGCCTCAACCGCCAAACAACACTCTCCGGCTCGACCTTCATTCCTGGCGTCGATAGCATCGAGCTCGAGCTTGAAGGCCTTCTTGCTGATGAGGACGCCCTTAACGAGGAGGTTACCATGGGTCTCATCCGTAACCTCAAGATCCCTTCCCCTTCCACCAACCCACCACCTTCCGACAAGGAGGTTCTCTTCCCTGCTTACCTCATCAACCTAGTAACTTCTGAGATGTGGAACAATGGTTTCGTCAAGGAGTCAGAACGCTTCCTGGCCAACGTCATGCAATCCATCCAGCAGGAGGTGATGCAGCACGATGGCGAGGAGGCCATCAACCCCGGTGCCTTCTGGCTTTCTAACGTTCATGAAATGCTCTCGTTTGTCTTCCTCGCGGAAGATTGGTACGAGGCTCAGAAGACGGACAATTACGAGTATGACCGCCTGCTCGAGATCGTCAAGCACGACTTGGAAAGCTTGGAGTTCAACATCTACCATACTTGGATGAAGGTTCTCAAGAAGAAGCTCTTCAAAATGATCATCCCCGCCATCATCGAGTCGCAGTCCCTACCAGGCTTCGTCACGAACGAAAACAACAGGTTCCTTGGCAAGCTCCTGCAGTCTAACACGGCGCCGGCCTACAGCATGGACAACCTGTTGTCCCTCCTCAACAATGTCTACCGTGCCATGAAGGCTTATTACCTTGAGGACTCAATCATCACGCAGACCATCACCGAGCTGCTCCGGCTCGTCGGTGTCACCGCGTTCAACGATTTGCTCATGCGCCGTAATTTCCTCTCTTGGAAGCGTGGCCTGCAGATCAACTACAATATCACTCGTATCGAGGAGTGGTGCAAGAGCCACGACATGCCTGAGGGCACGCTCCAGCTTGAGCATCTCATGCAAGCCACAAAGCTTTTGCAACTTAAGAAGGCAACCCTTAATGATATCGAGATCATCCAAGATATTTGCTGGATGTGAGTAACTTTTTTGACTCGAGAAATGACGTATCAAGCATACTGACAGTGATCCACAGGCTATCCCCCAACCAGATCCAGAAGCTGCTTAACCAGTACCTGGTTGCCGACTACGAGCAGCCTATTAACGGCGAGATCATGAAGGCCGTGGCGTCTCGCGTCAGCGAGAAGAGCGACGTTCTCCTACTGCAGGCTGTCGATATGGACGACAGTGGCCCGTACGAGATTGCCGAGCCCAGAGTGATCACTGCGCTGGAGACCTATACACCATCCTGTGAGTTCGATCAGAGTTTATGGATAACGTGAATGCGAAACTGACCGAGAAACCACAGGGCTGCAAACCCCACGCCTGAAGCGTCTTGCTGAGATTGTATCTCAACAAGCGATCGCTCAGCAAGAGAAGATGGAGTTCGGCTCTCAGGTGGGCGACTACCAACACGGAGATTATGACACGCAAAGCATGAACGACTTGACAGAGGTGGATGAAGGGCAAGAAGAGATCGTGCAAGCAAGTGCCTAGGTTGCACCACCAGCGCGACCACCACCCGCTCTACCTCTACCACTACCCACACCTCGCTCTCGTCCGTCACTGTCGTTATCATTGATTCCGAGCCCGACTTCTACCATACTTAATCCCTGGAGGACAAACAGTAACTCCATCATGGGTGATTCTGTACTGCCACCAAGGACTACTGCGACCGGTACCAGGAAGATGAGGGCCAGAAGTAGGACTGGTTGAGTATTAATCTGTCGACTAAAAACAAATCAATTTTTCTCTTGTTCATATGAGTTGTCGTTGTTGTCATTGTTGCTGTAGTAGGGTGTTCTGTCCTGTGTGTTTCAACAAAAAGAGTAGGGTGCATTCTGCATTTGGAACCTGGTTAGAGATGAAGAGGAGGAATGAGAAGAGGCATGACTGAGAGGGAGGGAGGCAAAGAGAAAATCAGACAGCGTAGGACAGATTAGGGAAAGGTTGGGTGGTGTGAGGATCGAGCCGTGCATCAACAACATCTTGCCCCTGATATAGTAGATGAAGATGGAAGGAAGGAAGGCTCACGGCGTGGCGTGCAAATCAGACAGATTCGGATGATTCGCTTTGGGTTGCTTGTTGGAGAAGAGAGAGATATTATGGAGAATTCATATTCAAATTTCACGGTTTCTTTTTTTTTGTTTTTTTTCTATCTTCATTTTCGTTTCCATTTCTCTTTAGCTTTCCGTTCTTTTATCACCATCGGCCGATGTTTTACCTACTTCTGTTCAAATCATACCATTACAAACCATTTTCCTCGAGTCATATGTCCTTTGTGTAAGTTCCGGGAGAACAGTCGGCATTACCTATTACATTCTACGTGAATCAGACTTTGCAGAGGACGGGGAAGAAATCAACGGGAGATGGTTAAAGAAAAGGAAGAAAGAGAGGAGGACCTGTACCCAGGAAAATGTAGCAAGAGACTGGAGAACATAGATCATCTATGTACACATAGGGTAAATAGGTTGATGCAAGAGAAGCCAGTGCATTGCAGGCATAGAGTCCCACTAGTGACAATTCTAGAATATCGCTGTTGTCTTCTTTTCTCTCTTTTTAACATCCGTTGTCTGTTTATCTTCCGCGAGCCTGATCGGGAAATTACAGGTACAGCAAGTGCGTGGTGCAGTATGCGTCGTCTCTTGGAATATGCAACAAAGCGGGCCGACCGACAAGCAGTAACTGAGCACAGTGCAACAGCCAATCAATCCGCACGTGGCCGAAACTGCATGAAGAAAATCTTTCTGTTTTGTTGGTCCCTTCACTCGCCCCCATTCCACAAAGCGAAACACTTGACTGAAGAAGTCTTTAAGAGGAACCCCACTGTATTTCAAGTTATTACACTAAAAAGATAGTGCTGAAAAAGATCCATCCATCATTATCAATCCTCGTTTTCAAAGTCACCTTGAGATCCACGACCTCAACTCACATCGCAACAGCATCAGGTATGTGCAGCCAACGAAAATTGATAATAAAACTAGAAAAGAACTGACGAACAACCACAGACAAGAGAAAAAATCACCATGTCTCGCACCCTCCCCAACATCATCATCACCGGCACCCCCGGCGTCGGCAAGACCTCGCACTGCGAGCTGCTGGCCGAGCGCACGGGGCTCAAGCACCTGTCCGTCAACGACGTGGTCAAGAGCAAGGAGTGTCAAGAGGGCTGGGACGAGGAGTATCAGAGCTGGATCGTCGACGAGGACAAGCTTCTCGACGCCATCGAGGACGAGGTCAAGCAGGGCGGGTGCATAATAGACTGGCACGCCTGCGACCTGTTCCCCAAGAGCTGGATCGACCTGGTGGTGGTTTTGAGGGTTGATTCTAGCACGTTGTATGACCGGTTGAGTGAGAGGTATGTTTTTCTTTTTTTGGTCTTCTTCCCCCTTCAGCATTGCTTTGTTCCTGATACAAACGTTTGTGTGAATGGATCGGTTTCAAGCTAACACACAAAACAACAGAAAATACCCCGAGCTTAAGCTCCAGGAAAACCTCGACTCGGAAATCATGGAGGTTCTCCTGCAGGAGGCGCGCGACTCGTACGACGAGGAGATCGTTGTCGAGCTGCAGAGCACCAATGCCGAGCAGATGGATGAGAACGTGGACCGCATCGAGGCTTGGTTTAAGCAGTGGAAGGAGAACAACAGCTCTGCCTAAGACATGATGAGGTTGAGCTTGGGAGTGGAAATGGAAAACGGAAAAAGAAAATGAGGAGGGGCAAAGAGGAGATGGAAAAGATGTAGAGGTCTTGATACCCGGGATTGATGTGGTCTCTTACAAAGATGTGAAAGGGAAATATGTATAGAAGAGGCGTCATCTCCGAAATAGCTCGTGGAGGATCAGTAAATTCCCATTCACGAACGCGCAGATATTCATCAAAAACAGTATTGTAATGGTTTCCCTTTGGTTTATCTCTCTCACCTCTTCAACTTCAACTTGGTCGTCACAAGTGGGCTCACCCACACAATCCAGCAGTGATGCAACAAACGAGGCTTTCATTCACCTAACCCGCCACCCCAGCACCTTGAAGTATTTTCCCCAAAACGCGTATCTTACACCCCATCAAATACGCAGTAGTGTAACATCAATAACCAAACCAAAGCCAAAACGATCACCGTTCGGCCTGACTCTTACTCCATGCCATACCATTCAAAGTACGCATCCACACATTCTCCCTCTCTCTTTTTCACCCGGGCCTTCTAATTTCACGAACTCACTCACTCATTCACTCAACTCTCAGGTCACAACCAGTCAGTCCCCCCAAAAACCAAACTAAACCGCCCAAAATGTCCGCCGCCCCTACCCAAGTCCGCCACCTCGTCAACTTCATCACCGGCAACGCCAACAAGCTCGGCGAAGTCAAGGCGATCCTCGAGCCGGCCATCCAGGTCGAGAACCAGGCGCTTGATCTGCTTGAGATTCAGGGAACTTTGGAGGAGGTCACGCTTGATAAGTGCCGGAGGGCTGCTGATTTGGTGAGTTTTCGATCATCTGCATAATTTTTTATTCTTTTTTTCGGGGATGAAAAGTGTTACGGGGTTTTTGATATTTGGCATCTATAGAGAGGCTGTAAAATGAGGGAAATCAAAATGAATGGTGGCTAATCATAAAACTGGTTTGGTTGGTTGAATCATCTAGGTCCAAGGCCCCGTCCTCGTCGAAGATACCTGCCTCTGCTTCAATGCCTTGAAGGGTCTTCCCGGTCCTTATATGTAAGAATATTCTCTCCCACACACACACAGGTAGTAACCAAAACATCATGACTTCAACTTACACGCACACGCAACGCAACGCAGCAAATGGTTCATGAAGGATCTCGGCCATGAAGGCCTCAACAATCTCCTGGCCGCCTACGAGGACAAGTCGGCCAAGGCCGTCTGCACTTTCGGCTACTCTGCCGGACCCGGCCACGAGCCCATTCTCTTCCAGGGCATCACCGACGGCAAGATCGTTCCTGCGAGGGGTCCTCCTCACTTTGGTATGTTTTCATCTGCATCTACATCTGCCTACCTACCGGCCCTGTCACAATGGCAAGGAGAAAAGAAACATGTTCACTTACTGACTTGATAAAATCACAGGTTGGGACGCCATCTTCGAATACGAAGGCCAGACGTAAGCTAAACCATTCCACGTCGAATTGCTTTTGTTTGAACCCCGGAGCCTTTTGACTAATGTAATTCTATGTAGATACGCCGAGATGGACAAGACGGAAAAGAACAAGATTTCTCACCGTGCCAAGGCTCTTGCTAAGTTGCAGGAGTGGTTCGCGAAGGAGATGACCGCTTGAAACTTTTCCAGGAAGTAAAGAAAAAAATAAGGCGGCAGTAGTATGAAATATACCACAGAAACACAGGTACGACAAGAAGACAAGGCTATGATGGCTGTGAAAGCCAAAACAAACGAATGAACAAGTAAACAAAAACGCCGCTTGAAATGCAGTCCCGGAAAACAAGAAAATATATGCAATTCGCTATGCCCAAGGGTTCCCAGCTAAAGAAGAATTGCTTTGCATCATATGGGAGCTGTTACTAGAGGTTGATTCGGATCCGTACCGTCCGTGCCAGGCGTACTACGCCTTTTTGATCTCCGGACGTGGTAGCAGCCTAGCATACATACAGTCTCTCGTCAGCTGCCATTCCCCCCAGAACAAGAAGACTCGAAAGAAGTAAACATACCTAATGACCTCAAACTGCTCATATTTTCCTAGGTATTTACTTCCGCGTCGGTAAGAATTAACCGCCATGTTCGCCGCCATGGGATGCGGATGCACCTCCTTCCCAATAAGCCTAGTGATGGTGGACGCATCATGGAACATGGGATCGAACACGATTAGATTTCTGGCGCCAGACTTGTCGCGCTCCAGCCCGATGATGGTCATCGAATGTCCTGCGTGCTGGAAGTATATTGGCGGCAGGTCGGTCTGCCAGACTTTCTGTATCTCGGTGGTGGCGCTTTGGGGGAGAATGGTGCCTGCTTGGAAGTACCGCTCGACCATATCTAGCAGGGCCTTTTCAGATTGGCCTGGTGAGGGGTCTTTGAAGGCTTGAACGTCGAAACTAGACGGGGTGTGAGTAAGTTTCTGAAGGCAGGAAAGAGGAGGAGATCGTAAGCTGAGGTATGGAAGGGCTTACGGTATTTGCAACAACCGGAACATGACCAGCGCCTCAGGCGTCCCGATGTACTTTCTGGTACCGCGGATGCCGCCCGTTTCAACCCTTCCATTAGGGTTGATTCCGTGGTCCCAGGCTGTCTCGATCATTTCTTGGATGTCAAATATCGAGGGGATTTCGTTGCGAAAATGCTGGTGGCCTGGGTATTTGGTGTTGATGATGTAAGACGACAACATTTGGATGTTGCGATAACCACAGAAACCCCCTTGACATGCATATTAGCTGACATAACTGCGAATTTTGAGAAAAAAGGGTAAAACTGACCTTCTTTTCTAAGCTTTGACACATGATTTGTGCTTGGGTGGCACAAGAAGGCGCGTCTTGTCGAAAAACATCGCTCAAACAGCTGTGCTAGCACCGGAATAACGCCTTGATACTCAGTTAGCAGTCCGCTTCAAAGTGTTCTCCCCTGTTCTCCGGTCAGTGCATTACCTTCACTCTTCACATAAAGACCCTTCTCGAGATGTTTGACAAGCCAATCCGGCATCTGCTCCTCGTGCGCGTACTTACCGAGCTGCGCTTTCTGTAAATACGGGTTTAGTTCAATGCTTCACCAGCAACAGCAGTTTCCGGCAAACAGAAGGAAGACGTACACCAAGGCGGGTCCCTCTAACGACTTGCGCCGTTGTTTCCGAGGCTCGTTCGGCCAGTCGTTCCGACATCCTCTCTCTATGGCGCTTCTTTGGAGGCTTTGGAGAATTTGGAGATATCGAGGAGGGCGTATCAGAGGATTGACTGGAGTGATGGTGGATTCCAAAGATTGCTCGCCATATCGATCTGCTCTTACTGCTGTCCCTACTCCTATCGCTGTTCCTATCGCTGTGATGGTCGCCCTTTTGTTCCCCTCGGCGGGTTTTCGAAGAAGTAGTACTATGTCTAGGTGAAGAGGTCGAAGAGCGGTTGGTAGGAGTGCGCGTCGTCGTGTGGGTCGGCCTCTTTTCCGGCGGAGACTGAACCTTTGGGGACGATGACGGAGTGGAAGGGGTGATGACGGGACTGCCAGTCTCAGTCTCCGAAGAAGCGCTGCCGCCTTGCTCAGCGGTATGGAGTTCTAGATGATAGTCTAGGTCGGCCGCGAGCAGGACTTCCCCGCAGTCTTCCGCTGGACATTCGATATAAAGAGGTCCTTCTTCCTCTGCTTCTGGAATGTGACCGCCATTGGCCGCCGCAGCCTCGTCAGCAACCACAAAGGGAGAGTCTCCCTCGGCATGGTTTGTCTCCATGTGCTAACGTCAAAAAGGTAGTCAGTTAACAGGTTCACAGCCAAACAATGCGGGCCGGAAGGAGAAACACACTAGCATAATGGCGTATTCGTCCGTCGTTGTGGATTCCCAGTTGCAAAAGGGACAGACCATGCCGCCTTTGTTATTTTCTGGGGCCCCCCATCTTCAAGTGTCTCAGATTAGAACAGCACGGGGTGTTAGTGAGATGCAGGTTTCTTTGTTCCAAGATGCGTCCAGACAAAGTGGCGATCCAATTCAGGCTTCCTCCGAATAACAATGAGACTCTGCGGTGGCAAGGCGGGAAGCGGCGAGCGGGATGGCTCGTGGTTTAACGAATGATGCCTAATACGTGAATAAACTAGAAATGGAAATGAAGCCGGGAGGATGATCGGTGAACAAGCCGCACCAGACGCGTCTAAAAGTCCAGCTTCAGCTAATCGCGTCCGATGAATAACTTGTCTTAAGAATCCGTCTTTTTCAAAACCAGGAGGTTGCGCAGCCAAACTCTCCGGACCTCTTGCCAACTGGTATCATCGAGGCAAGTTCAACCGCAAATGACACACAAAGATAGCTGTTTCACGATAGGGATTTGTTACTTTGTTTGGTCGAAGGGAAGGCGTGATGGCTCACATACCCTAACAAGCAGCAAAGGCATCAGCGACTGGCGAGCAAACCCCTGGGAAGAGCCAGCTTCTTAGATTGGGTTATTTGCTGGTAGCCATTGCTATTGAGTGGTTAAATGACCCGACCCTATTACATAAATTCGCTAACTCTATAGTCTATATATTCACATATGAAATTGATCCGACCCACAAAAATTAAAATTTAACACAGTTATTACAATATGTATTTGTACGGGGTTACTTTAATAGAGCTCTGGTTAGGATCTTGAATGGTATAAAATATTATAAAAATAACGTAATAATCTAGCAAAATTGAATCTTTATTGTTCTAATTATTAGTCATAGTATTATTTACTCTGTATTGTCTTCCACGGAGAAAGAATAATGCGACGAACGGCAGTCTGATCTGCCTAAGTAGGATAGCTGAAGGTAGATAACTATCAGTAGACGTTCGATAAAGCCAAAAGGTTCACAGCAAGTATGGTAGCGTTATACTAGTCTTGGTGATAATGATCAATTGACTACTGTCGAACTATCTGACAATCTAAATTCTCCAGCAGTCCCTTTATACCTGCTCGCCCTTTGCGAGATATTTGTCTCCGGCTACTTACGATCCGTGAATCCCATAACTATCTGGTAACTAGTTGACTTGTCCGGCGAGCCTGGCTCGACGGGTGAGTCCTTGTCTGCCCACAAGTTCCTTCCCTACTGTGGTTACACTGCCCAGCCTTCGCGTGGCTGCAGTGTCCCGGTGGCTTGGTTGACCCGTGCTTAAGTTCGTAACAAATAATAAATTTCGCAATAGAAAAGAATAATAAGTTTCGCTATAGAGGTAGACTTTCCCTAATTTCTGTTTAATCTTTTTTAAACTACTTTTAGAATATTTTTAAAATATGCTCTATATTATAATAATTATAAGTTTCGCTATAGAAAAACAACAAATCAACTAAACGAATACTATTTATATGGTCATCTTTAATCATTTTTTCAAGATTTACTATGTCTTTTTTAAATTTTATGTAAATACTTTCAAACTAGGTTTAAAAAGCTCCTAGAATATATTTATTTAAATTATTTCTAATCAACTTCCAAATCATTTTCGTATTATTTAGTTTGAAATCCGAATTATACCAATAATTACTATATCTTTATAATATAACTAAGTATCAATAAGTTTATTTGAATATTAATAAAATTCTAACTAAATAAAATAAATATTTTTACTATATTTGGAATGAATGAGAGGAGGACTTATAAATAAACAATAAATAAAAGTAGAAGAAGCTATAAATCAATGAAATATAATGTATATATATATTTTTATACAGTTTATATACCGCGGAGTTAAATTTAATTAAACAAGTAGTATTGTTACGAACCATAAGCAAGGAACACGGGCCAACCAAGCCATCGGTACACAACAGCCACATAAAGGCTAGGCAGTGTAACCATGACAAGGAAGGAAGGCTTATGAAGGTAGGCCAGGCTCATGAAGGTGAGCCAAGCTTATAGAGACGAGCTAGGCTCACTGCCTATAAGCTAGCCCATAGGCAGTGAGCTAGCAC